TAACAAGAGGAGTCCCATAGAAACTTATAGATCCTCAAGTTTTCAAAGAAATGACATGCACCATGATGACTCCAAAAGAAAGAAAGAAAAATGAAAAAGCATCACCCCTTTTGGGGGATGGCATCAAACAAAAGATAAGAATTCAAACAACAACCTTGTAAGACAAAGTAGATGAAAAATCAACCTGCAGAGCCTAAGGAAAAAACAGAATGAAAATATAAAAGCATTCTGAGATAAAGGGGCCAATAGTAATAACAGGTATTGAAACTTCACTGTGGAAAGTGTAATCTGGATCATGATGGATAGGTTTGAAAAAAATCACACAAAACAAAAATGGAAAACAATTATAAAGGAACTGATAGTTACAGAAGACACACAAAGGGAACTATGTTTCGGTGGACTCTTGGTTTCCAATTGCTTCCGTGATAAATTATTACAAACTTAGCTTAATAGAATGTAAGTGAATTATCTTGTAGTGCTGGAGGCTGGACATCTGAAATGGCTTTCACTGGGTTAACATCAAGGAGGCAGCAGGGCTGCTTTCCTTCCAGAGGCTCCAGGGGGGAACAATTTCCTGCCTTTTCCGGCTTCTAGGAGCCGCCTGAATTGCTTGCCTGGGACCCTTTCAACTTCAAAGCCAGCAGTGTAGCATCTTCAGACTTCTCCCTGACCCTGCTCTCATCTCTTGTTTTTTCGTTTTTTAAGGACAGTGTGATTACACATCCTAGATTAATCTAAGACAATCTCACTATTTCAGAATCCTTAATTGCATCTACTAAGTCCCTTTTCCATGTAACATTACATATGCAGAAGTTTTAGGGATTAAGATGTGGCTATCTTTGGGGAGGGGGGCATCAGTCTACCACCCATGGACACTGATATGATTTGGCTGTGTCCCCACCCAAATCTCACCTTGAATTGTAATAATCCCCACATGTCAAGGGTGGGGGACAGGTGAAGATAATTAAATCACGGGGGCAGTTCCCCCTACTGTTCTCATGGTAGGGCATAAGCCTCAAAAGATCTGATGATTTTACAAATGGAGTTCCCCCGCAGAAGCTCTGTTGTCTGCCACCCTGTAAAACGTACCTTTGCCTTCCTCCATGATTTTGAGGCCTCCCCAGTCATATGGAACTGTAAGTCCATTAAACCTCTTTCCTTTATAAATTATCCAGTCTCAAGTATGTCTTTATCAGCAGCATGAAAATGAACTAATACAGACACCAACATATATCCTGGTGAAATTACAGAGGTTCAAGGATAAAAAGATCATAAGGGAATTATAGACAGAAAAAGGAAGTGATATACATGGGGAAAAAGTTAGCTTCTGTCTCCCTCAGGAAATAATAAGCACCAAAAGATTAGAGTAATATTTATAAACTACTGAGAAGAAAAAACTGTGACCAAGAATTTTGTACTCCCTAAATTTCCCTTCACATGTAAAGATAAAACAATTTTTTCAAGTATATAAGCTGTCATGCCTATGAGTTCTTTTTGGAAAAAAAAGAAATTCCTAAGGATTAAGTTCAGTCGATTTAGAGTTGAACAAACATGAAGAACTCAGGAATAGAACTTTAAATAAAATGATAGATAGTCAATCTTGAATGCATTTAAACGTGAAACTAAGATGAAATTGCTATTGACATTGTGATTGCCAAATAGATAACAAATATAAAATTTAAAAATGTTATCTCCTAAACTCTGGAGATAAAGGCATATTTTCTACACTTATTTTCTCATTTTTGAAAACAAAGAATCAATAGATACTGAAAAAGTTGGAAAAATATGGCTGATAATTGAGGAAAGTTCTAAAGATGTTCAAGCCAACTCTCTCAAGTGTTGATGTCAAATGCTTACTATTTTTAGTTCCACAGAATCTCCTATCTATTAAACAACAGATTCCTAAATCAGAAGGGGCTTGGCAAGAATACTAATAAACAACAGCCAAGTCACCACTATCCCATATATCAGTAGCCCTCTACGGATTACAAAATGCTTTGGTGCCCATGATTGAAGTTTGGATCTGGTGATACCTTGGTAATTATGCCTTACATCTTCCATTTGCCCTCAAGATAAAGGTCTTCTCTCTTCCTCTCTCATCCTTCTCTCCTCCCCAGAAGTCAGACCTATGCTGGCTGCATTGGTGGAACTGCTGTGCCCTCTGACTTTGTTTACTCTGAGTCAATTGGGATCCCCAAAAAATTGGAGGGAGAGAAGAGACAGAGTATCCTGGGCTGTCTCTGTCCCTCTACTGAATGTCACCATTCCTTGCAAGGCAGCCAGCTCTACATGAGTCTCTCCTTCTGCGTTCTGGGAACCACTCACTTCCTGCACCATTTTGCATGCAACCAACTTCACCCTCTATTGTGGTTCCCCATACCCACACTTTTGTAAACAACCCCTTTGTTAACAAAACTTGTTGGAATTATCCTATTGTGAGAATATCATTTGGTTTATGTTGGGACACTGATTAATACAGGTTTCTTATGTCCGTTTTAAATTGAGCTAGCCAGGGCTGAAATAAGTTATGTGATTCTAGACCCAAGAGTCATTCTTCTATGTTGTCTTGCTTCCTAGCCTAGGATTAAACTTGGTCCAGAGCTATCTACAAAAGAAATGGTTGGAGCACCTGTTCGTGATCCTTTGGCAGGAAAAAATTCTAATTAATCTCTGGGGTAAGGGGTTACATCTCTAACTAGTCTGGTTAAGTTAGAAATAAGCTTGCAATGAATTATACATCTAGCTTCAAAATTTTATTTTAAATCTAACTGACTGATAATACACAGTGGACCCTTGAACAACATGGGTTTTAACTGTGAAGATCCACTTATATCCACACTTTTTCGATGAAAGTTCTACTGAGCATGCCTGCCTCTTCTGCTTCCCCTTTCATCTCCTTCATATCTTCCTCCTCTGCCACCCCAGATAGAGCAAGACCTATTCCTCCTCTTCTTCTTCCTCTTTATCCTATTCAGTGTGAAGATGATGAGAATTAAGACCTTTATAATGGCCCAGTACCACTTAATGGATAGTAAATGTATTTTATTTTCCTTAGGATTTTTAAAATAACATTTTCCTTTCTCTAGCTTACTTCATTGTAAGACTACAGTAGAAAATACACATAACATAGAAAATACTTGTTAATCAACTGTTCATATTATTAGTAAGGCTTCTAAGCAACAGCAGGCTATTAGTAGTTAAGTTCTGAGGGAGTCTAAAGTCATACACAGGTTTTAGACTGTCCAGGGTGTCGGTTCTCCTAACCCCTGCTTTGTCCATGGGTTGGGAAGAATAAAAATTAGTTGTCTCTCCCATCAGTCCTTTCCTATGTCCTTTGCATTTAACGCTTTCTTGTAGCTCATCAGCAACAGCCTGGGTTCTTTCAACTTGCACCCTCATCTGAAGTCTACCCTCAGTTCCTAGGCATTCAATATGCCCATCACCCAGTTGCTGTGAAGGTTAGATACCAAATAGCTTCCAGCTGCTCTTTCCCCAGAGGGCTACTTTCAGTGTAGAAGGGATGTCTTGCCAGGAAAGTCATATCTTCCCTCTACACAACCAGGGACAAACTTACAACCAATGACTGAGTGATACGGGGACATAAATCTATGATAGGGCTTATGCTTTAGAGCTCCCCCCTCCTCCCCATCATGAGATCTCCCTGAGGCTAGACCTACCTGAGACCACATTTTTGCAATCCTTCCCTGTCCCCCTTAATCCCCTTGGGGGCTTACCCGGAAGAGTGCTTCCTCAGTACATCACACACACAGGGATCCCTGTCCTAGGCTCTGCTTTGAGCCTGGACTTCATGTGCTGTGATTTGATAGTCTCTGTACTAATTCCATCTTCCCTCCTTGTTTTTCGAACATTTAACATCTCTTATTGTGTGTGAGTCATTGCTTTTATGTAGCGAAGTATCAGGAAGCTGTGGGTAAGACTACTAGCACTCACTTTAATTATTTCTTTAGAAGCTATTCTGGGTCTGAAGATCATTACACCCAACTTCAAAAGTCTTGACTCATATTTCATCCAGTCGATTTCACAATTCAGCAAAAGTAGAAATAAAACAGAATTTCCATGCTTTCTCCAATAAGGATCTTTAAATAAATACCATATTCATAAAGGTCTCCCAAGATTCTATTGTACACAAATACCAAGTACAACTTGTAGTTATACTTAAAAAAGAGTAGTTGCATTTGAAAAAGAAGTTAACATCAACTCATAACTCTATCATGTCTATTCCTGAAAAGAGAAACAATACTTGAGAATAAGAAAATAAAACAGCTTTGGGAGGCTGAGGCAGGTGGATCACAAGGTCAAGAGATCGAGACCATCCTGGTCAACATTGTGAAACCCCGTCTCTCCTAAAAACACAAAAAATTTAGCTGGGCATGGTGGCGCATGTCTGTAATCCCAGCTACTCGGGAGGCTGAGGCAGGAGAATTGCCGGAACCCAGGAGGTGGAGGTTGCAGAGAGCCGAGATCGCATCATTGTACTCCAGCCTGGGTAACAAGAGAGAAACTCCGTCTCAAAAAAAGAAGAAAGAAGAAGAAAGAAAGAGAGAGAGAGAGAGAGAGAGAGAGAGAGAGAAGGGAAAAGAAAGAAAGAAAGAAAGAAAGAAAGAAAGAAAGAAAGAAAGAAAGAAAGAAAGAAAGAAAAAGAAAACAGAATTAGGTGGGTTAGTTAGTTTGTGTTATTAAAGTTAACTTTATGTGGCTCCCAAGATGAATCACTTATTCACCCTCTACTGTAACAGGAAAACTGATAAAAATTTATTATCTATGGTACTTACACAACTTATTTTAAAGAGGAGTTTAGGAACTAAGAAATGGTTTATCTTTAAACATTTTTTTAATTGTGGTGAGCTTTTGAGCTAACCATAAAACTGCTGTACAACAAAGACGCTCATTAAGATAACAACGGTAGGGTGAGAAAAGTGAAACTGTGAGCTGTATTCTCCCGATTATCTGTATATGTCTTTACCAAAATCTTCATGACAGCAAACCAACAGAACAGACAACAGGTGGTGCTGTTGCTATGTGTAATACCAGCAAAAGACAAGACGCATGGGGGAAAATATTTGCCAGAAAGAGCACAGGACAAAAACATACCCCTCACTTCTGAATTCTCCAAAAGATGGCAGTGTCATTTCTTTCTCTCTTGTCAGAGCTCCACCACTTATCATTGTCTTGTTGAACTGAAGTGCTCCATTTTTGTGTTCCAGGCCAAAGCTATGGCCAACATGGCATTTTCATATGAAGGTTGCAAGGATTCAATACATCTCTGATATTACTAAGCTGATCTGAAAAGACATCCACATGCAGAGAAGATAAATTTACTCACTGGAACAGAGGTCTTTAAAAATAGAGGATGTTCAAAAATTCCTCGGAATGCATCTGATTTCTGCAACATTTGGTAGAATTATCCCACAGTTATCTTTTGGGAAAGAAATGACAACTATTTGAGAATAGTTCTTGACGTTTGTTATATGGTCTGGCTCTGTGTCCCCACTCAAATCTCATCTTGAATTGTAATCCGAATTGCAATCCCCACATGTTGGAGGAGGGACCTCGTGGGAGGTGATTAGATCATGGAGGCAGTCCCCTCATGCTGTTTCCATGATAGTGAGTGAATTCTAGCAAGATATGACGGTTTTATAAGGGACTTTTTCTTCCTTTCACTCTGCACTTCTCTCTCCTGCCATCACAGGAAGAAGAACAAGTTTGCTTCTCCTTCTGCCATAATTGCAAGCTTCCTTACAATTAGGCCTCCCCAGCCATGTGGAACTGTGAGTCAATTAAATCTCTTTTCTTTATAAATTACCCAGTCTCGGGTATTTCTTCATAGCAGCGTGAGAACAGACTAATATTGTTTATAAAGTAAAAAAAAAAATTGCAATAAATTTTCATAAAATTCAAAATAGTTTTCAAAAGGAGCATTAGCTATGCTAAAGGAAAAAGCACCAATATGAATAGTTAATAAATATCAAATTCTCTCTAAAGTATTGCTTTAGGCGTGGAGAATTTATTTTTTTCTTTTTTATTTGTGATGAGATTTATCAACCTAGTGTTAGTTTAGTCAAATCAGACTTCATGGTTTGGAAAGACGTCCAGCTGTAAGAGGAAGTCACCTTGGGATTAAAATTTGACACAAATGATCAACCAAATTAAGAATATTTTACCATACTGGACATGCATTTTCAGACTGATTTGTGGAAACAATTTGCTTCTGAATCCAATGGTCACACAAGAAGATACTGGCCTCTTCAAACTAATCCATTAAGCATCTCCATTATTGCTACCCTTTGAAAAGTTGCAATCAAAGAAAAAGTTACCTTGTAGGGCAAAGTGAGAAATAAGAAGCAACAAAAATGATGCCTCAGCTGGGCATGGTGACTCACACCTCTAATCCCAGCTACTCTGGAGGCTGAGCAGGAAGATTGCTTGAAGTCAGAAGCTGAGACCAGTCTGGGTAACCCGGTGAGACGTCATCTCTAAAAAAAAAATTTTTTTTAATTTTAGTTAAAATTGGCATGATAGAGTGCAACTGTAGTCCCAGCTACTGGATAGGTTAAGGCAAAAGGATTGCTTGAGCCCAGGAGTTCAAGGCTGCAGTAAGCTATGATTGCACCACTGCACTCCAGACTGGGTGACACAGTGAGACTCTGTCTCTTACAAAAAATGTAAAAAAATAAAAACAATGCCTTATAAAGCTTATAAAGTTCTTTCTATGCACCTCATAGTCTAGGCAACCTTTTAAGATAGGCAAAATCACTAATAATGCCAGCGTACATTGATTGAGAACTTAAGGCACTTTTCCAGCACTTTAAACCCATTAAATCATTTAATCTTATCATGGCTGTAGGAGGCAGGTACTATTATTGTCCCATTTTTCCAACAAAAGACACTAAAATAGAGAAAAGTTAAGTTGCTTCCCAAGGATATACAACAAGTAAGCTAGCTGGAATTAAAACTCAGGTAGTTTGAAAAACTCACACAATCACTGCATCATCATTTTTAGAGGTAAAAATGGACATTAAAGTTTATATAGCAAGCTATTAAAGGTGGAACTGAATTTAGAACCAAGGTATTGATGATTTGTGGCCTGATGGTCTTCCTTGAATTAATTTTTTTTTCTTTGAGTAATTCCTGACTTGCCAAAAATTATATCCTCTTGAATAGAAGTGCCATCTGGACTTGTCTACACACAGACTGTGGTAGGCTGGTCTACCACAGATAACGTCTCTGCACTTGACCACTGTGTTATTTGGAATTTTATGCCTCCCCATCTCTGAAGGCTCAAGAATAAATGGAGTCAGCCTACTTTTCCAAGACTCTTCCCAGATACAAGTTCTCATCTGAGAAATCTATAGTGACCAATTTAATGCTGACCTCAAAGAAGGAAGGGAAAAGAGAGGTCTTCAGGCTTTAAGTTTCCAGACCTATCTCCATTTTGGCAAGAAAAGGGAGATTACCAGATGCCTTCAAGTATAGGCAATCCAGCATTCCTGAAAGTATAGGCAATCAGCATTCCTGAAAGCACCCTGCCCAGTCCCCAACATTTTCCCAAGGATACATAAGGATGATAGGACAGAGGTATAGAAGTCCCGAATCTTAACAAAATGAGATATTACTTCCATTGGTCAAAGCTTTGTTGAGTTTTCTTGGTTCATTCCTGTTCAGGCATTTCTCACAGTTTCTATAAAGGACACCTATTGTATCAGTCAGCTTGGGCTGTGTTGTGCTACAATAGATAAAGACACCCTCACCTCCAACTCTTATTATCTTACAACAACAGTTTTCTTTCTTGCACATTTTTCATGTCAATCATTGATTGACTTAGGCTCTTGTATCTGGAGCCACAGGGGCTGAATGAGCAGCCCCTACCTGGGACCTACCAGGCCACTGGCTGTGAGAAGAGAATGACGTGAAACCACAGAGTGGTTCTTAGAGCTTTTGCTCAGAACCGGCTTCTGACATTTCTGATCACATTTCATTGGCCAAAGCAAGTCATGTGGCCAAGCCTGATGTCAATGGAAAAGGAAAGTTTAATCCTTTGTAAGGATGGAGAGTCCCCTGATATTGGAAACGATAATATAATGATCAGACTTACTGAATTACATTATATTAGGTGTAAGGAGCCTGCTATCTGAATAAATTAATAGGGTGAAATTACAAGCAAGTTCTAGAGGCTTCAACTAACTCTATAAAAGAAATATTAAAGGAGTCTAAACACTGAAGCTCTTCTCAACCTTTCTCAGCAGTGGCACAGTGAAAAAAATAAAAAGCAATTTCAGGTCATGATAGTTGACTTGAAAAGGCAGGAAATGGGCCAGGAGCGGTGGCTCACGCCTGTAATCCCAGCACTTTGGGAGGCCGAGGTGGGTGGATCACGAGGTCAAGAGATCGAGACCATCCTGGTCAACATGGTGAAACCCCGTCTCTACTAAAAACACAAAAAATTAGCTGGGCATGGTGGCACGTGCCTGTAATCCCAGCTACTCGGGAGGCTGAGGCAGGAGAATTGTCTGAACCCAGGAGGCGGAGGTTGCAGTGAGCCAAGATCGCGCCATTGCACTCCAGCCTGGGTAACAAGAGCGAAACTCCGCCTCAAAAAAAAAAAAAAAGAAAAGAAAAGAAAAGGCAGGAAACATAGGCTAGGGAGCTGCTGAGCCCAAAGTGAAATCGCTCCTCCATCAGCAGCTGTAAAGCACGGGCCAGGTCGCACAGCTCCTTACTTAGTAACATTGCCAAAATTCCAGGCTTCATTTGTAACTCACTGCATTGCCGTTCTTTTGGAGTACATTACCAGGACTTCATAAAGATTGATTGAGTTCTAGGAAGCCATTGGGTTGAAAGTCCAGATGTACATAAATCAAATTATAACATCACTTAATTCACAATGTATCTGCCCAAGTCATTTTGGGGTGGAAGTGAAAAGATTTATAGTAAGTCTTATGGGATTTGATGATCTGAAAAGTAAGAGATATTAAATGGGTGATTTAGCTGCAGGAATCAACTGCAGTAGTTTTAAATTGAAGCCTTCATTGCTACTGGTTTAAAATGAATTTTAAATAATTTGAAATATATTTTGGGAGTTCTTTAGGGTGAAGAGTTAAATGTGATTTTTGGCAGTCAAAAAGAAGATCTGATTTATATTCAGAAAAAACTAATCCATCAATAAAAATATATGTCAGCAAACCTCTTTATATCTTAAAGCACTGTTCTCTACCATAGCTAGTTCTAAATCTAAAAACGTTTACATACATATGTTCTATGATAAGACACCAAAGTTCTCGTACTTGATGAAAACAATTTCTGTGATTTTCTTAGTCTTGAGCCAGAAATCAATCTACAATTGAAATCACACTAGTTTTTATGTGGAAGGACATGAGAAGCCACAATTCCAATTCATGCCTCCACGGTTGCACACTAGCCAGAAACCTGGAGTTCCAAATCTGTAGAGCAGGTGAAATTTGCTATAATCTCTGAGCCCAACTCGTTCTGTACCACTTTCTTTTGTTTGAATTCTTTTTTTTTTTTTTTTTTCAGTCTGAGCCTTCCTTTGTCTCCCAGGATGTCTCCAGCGATCATCCACCTCAGCCTCCTGAGTAGCTGGGACTACAAGCATGACCCACCATGTTCGGCTAATTTTTTTTTTTTACTTTTTATAGAGACCAGGGTCTCCCTATGTCTCCCAGGCTGGTCTCAAACTCCTGGGCTCAAGCAATTCTCCAGTTTTGGCATCCCAACGTGCTGGGATTACAGGCTCCCGACACCCAGCCAGGCCTTGAATTTCACGATGTTTCTTAATGCTTCAATTCCCCTTTTCTTTTTTTCCTATCTTTTCATCTTTTTCTATCTTTTCTTTCAAAATCTATTCTTTAAAAGAAGTTATTTTTAATTAAAATTTACCATCAGATACCTTAAAGGCTGAGGAAATTCAACCTATTAGCAAAGGCCATTGTATACAAATACCAATAGAAAACAAAGTTTGACCAGAGGAAGGATGATCTAAAGGGAAATTCAAGACAACTGAAGTGAAAGTGGGGATGTAGTCCTCTCTTCTTACAATCACCAAGTGGAGCAAATTCAAAACAAATACTCAAAAGGAAGTTCGTTCATGGGGATGTTACATTTCTGTCTGCTCCTCTGACAGTTTTACAGGCGTTTTTGATGGAACAAATCCTTAAAGGAACAGAGTTTTCTCCCCAGTGACCTCTAAAAATTTGCTCTTCATTATGAAAGACTGAACTCAATATTTTTTCCAACTAATAGTAATATTTATTTAATTTTAATTAATATTCCTGAGAAATGTTGACTCTACATTTGATTTTAAATGTTGTATGTGAATTTACTTTCATTCAATCTTTAAAAATCGTAATTAGAAAAATCTGGATTCTTTCCCTGCCTTTGTTACTTTTCTAGCAGTTCTGTGAAATTAGGGAGTTGAATTTCAGATAATATTTAACGGTGTTCAATTCTGAAATTCTTTGTTGGTTCTTTTAGTTGAGGACAAGCTTCTTTAGTTGAGAACAATTACCGCCAAATTTATCTCTTTGTTAAATTGGAGCATGTGTGTATTACTTAAGCATAAAGCTAGGTACACTGTATTAACCAACACAGTGCCATTTTCTACTAGCTATTAAAAATTATTGTTTAATCTAATATGCAGAAAACTACCTAATGGTTTCTAAAACTGGATCTTAAGTTTAATAAATGCACTATTGATCACTATATTTTATAATCTAAATTTAATGTCTAAAATGTAGATTATAATACATTTAATTTAATATCTAAAATGTATTATAATCTGTCTCCCTTCCCAATTATAATTATCTACACTTCCCTTTCATTCTTTTCCTATAGGTGTCTTGTTTTTCATGGTGTCTATACATTACTCTTCTCATTTCATCGTTTGATTTTTGCTTTCAGTTCACCTGGCTAATACACTCTTGAAAAATGTATCATAATCTTTATTCATTGTACATTATATTTTATGTGTATTTCATTCAATCTTTATTTGAAGAATAATGCATGGACTTGACAATAAAAATTTAGACTACAAAAAGGGGCACGAAATAAGAATGTAAAGTCTTTCTCTCTCCCCACATCTGTCCTACTTTCCAAAGAGGACTATGTTCAACATTTTTTGGTTTTGGTTCTTGGGATGATTAGCTTGGAAATTCTAAACCACTGCTGTTCAATAGAAACATAATGTGAACCACATTTAATCTCTCTAGTAGCCACATTTTAAAAAGTAAAAAGAAGCAGGTGAAAAAAATTTTAATGAGACATTTTACGTAATGCCATTTATCCACGATGCTATTATTTCATATATAGTCAACATTAAAAATGAATATTTAAAATTTTATGTTTATCTCAACTGTATTTTATACTTATAGCACATGTTAAATTCAGACTAACTACATTTCAAGTGTTTGATAGCCACATATGGCTAGTGGCTGTCATATTAGACAGTGAAGATCTAGAC